ATACTATGGAAGTGAATACTATGGAAGTGAATAGGGATCAATGTCAAGCTCCAGAAGGGACAAAAAGCATAAGAGTATCATAAAAGTAGCCCATACGATGTTACATTCCTTGTGTTGACATGAAGATGAGTAAATTATGACAGATTTTTCATTTCTGTGTCCACAGTTTTAAAAACATATTTTGTAAGGTTGGTATAGCTTTATGCGTTTGTGTGTGTGTCAGTTTGAGCATTTGGAGCGTGTGAATGTGGACATCCCGTTCTTGCTGATGATGGATATTTTGAGTGCGTCTCCATGGCCGATCGAGCTGGTGAACAGTGAAGTGCTGTTGGCCTCCAGTATGACTCCCATCGATCAGCCCCAGAGTCAAGTAGAAGGAGGTGGGAGAACTTTATTTCTGATAGTGGTATTTCAGAAAATATTTATTTAGGGCCTGACTTTGATTCATTTCTGTTGTGTGTCCAGTCACGCTGCAGACCAGCGAATGTGCTAGTGAGTGTTTCCTGCTCAAATGTCCTCCTGTTCAGAACGACACCAGCACAGTGGCCTCTGGACACTACTTCATCTCCTGGAAGAGGTGACGGCACTCTTTATATTCTCACTTTTAACCTGTATATTACATGCAATTGATGACTTTCCTTTTCTCATGCTATTATCTTATGAGATATTTTCATAAAGAATGTGAAAGTTTGTACATTCATAATTTGCTTAAATTAATACTCTGTAACAAATTATAAAAGCGCACAGTTTTTAATTTCCCGTATAACCTTTTTTTATCCAGAAAGTCAGCATTTGCTGAGACATCAGTTGTGAGAACGATGGTTATTCTGCCACATGTGATGGTAGAAAATATTCCACTTTATGTCCATGCAGGTCAGTCTGTTTTTATATTAAAGTCAGTAATATAGATTGAATCATCTAAGACAGTCTTATGTGTGTTCTCTGTTTTATTCACTGCATTTTGTTGCTGTCTTGTAATTCATTCTGTCCGTCCTCTCTTAAGGCCCGTTCACACCAAGAATGATAATGATAACTACAACTATAAAGTTCTAAAAAT